GCATTAACATAGCACATCGGTAGACCGCCGTAATGTCTCAACAATGACGTATTACTAAAGGATTTATCAACGTTGCACGATTTTGAGCATCAACCTGATTCAACTCTTAATTAAGAGCTTGGAAATTCAGTAGTTACTAACTTTTTACGTGTATTAAAAAGTGTTATTACAATGTTTTCGACGAATGGATATGACGATAAGGCGTTGTTTCTTGCAAAAACTAGATAGGTAGGACTTTTTGGGCATCTTTAAAATGAGTACTCTCTTACAACTCACGTTTTCGAAATGCATCCGATTTTGTCACCAATAAAATTTTACTGGAATACTCTGAAAAAAATTCACAGTGGTACGTACATTTCTTATGTGATCTTGAAAGCCAAATAGGATTCTCCTTGAAGAAAGTATGAAACTCAGCTCTATTTTACACGGTCATGCCTCTTCAAAATAAAGTACAAAATAGGATTGAGCTCGAAGTCTGTCTGAGTACGATGTCCATAATATCAAGGTAACGTTGTGAGAACAAAAGAATGAAGAAGGATGAAGCTCTCGGCGGTGATCAGTCCCCTTGGGATGCGCCATGCATTCGACTTCGTAAAGCTTCTTGAAAATGATTGAATACGTGTCTGTCCTATTAAATGAGTTGCGGTGGCTAACAGATGCATCAAATCGGTGTTGTGATCCTCCCAGATAAGTTTCCTAACAGTTTGTGGACCGTGGGAAGGACGGAAACATGGACGAGCCTTGGGGGCGAGATCAAATCAATGATCACACGTGCCCTGCAGAGCACCTCTGACTACTCCGCTACAGGCGCTTATTTGAAAATAGTAGCTTACAATAAGGTATACTGTACGGAAACGAAGTTCTAGAGATGCCTTACTTTTACACACAGTAATTTTTGTGGATTCGAGTCTAAAATTATATCGCAACTCTGAAGCCGTGGTTCTTCAACGACCGACTTTCATGCAACTACTTTAATAACTATGTTATACCTTTTTATTTTCTGCCTACTATAATTTCGCGGCAGGGTACTAAGCGAAATATAACCACAACGTTGCTGAGATATTTGCAAAACTCTGGACCGCAGGTGTCTATGGTGGGGAACGAACGCGCTATTCTCCTTTCCGGGGAGTAACGCGTTCACCACCACACCATGCGGGTCCTTCGTTTCGCCTGTCTCTCAGCTATTTCTATCGATCTTTACCACAGCAATCGCCCGTCAGCGGGATTGATCTGGGGCGCCCAAATCGCCATAGAACCCAGTTAACCTGCAGCTGTAGTTGAAATCACAATGTTGTACCTTTCTATTTTCTGCCTACTATAATTTCGCGGCAGGGTACTAAGCGAAATATAACCACAACCACGTTCCCCACCATAGACACTTGCGGTCCAGAGTTTTGCAAATATCTCAGCAACGTTGTGGTTATACTTTAATAACTATGGTACTGCACGCATGGGCTTGCACGAAGTTATTACGAAAATGTTCATTGTGACTATGCTAACCTTTTATTTACTGCGTACTGTAATTTTCACGGTAGGGTATTATGCGAAATGCAACCACACCGATACTGAGCTATTTGCAAAACTCCGAATAGCAAATGACTGCGGTTGGGATCGAACGCGCTATTACCATTCCCGCAGGATAACATTTTCACCACCACGCCATGAGGGTCTTTATGCAAATGTCTCACCATCATCGTGGTTGCATTTTGCATAATATGCTGCCGTGAAAAATTACAGTAGGCGATAAATAGAAGGTTGCTTGATACTTGATACTTGAATGGCCCATCCTTATTGGTTATGTGGGCCCCAACATAACCTCCAATTTTCGGAGATTTGCTCGCTAAGCCACTGTGGTTCCCTGGAATCCCGAGGTCTGCCTGGCCAAAGTCTGCACCAGGTCTTCACTACCACAAGCACTGGCAGCCTTTGTGGATCAGAGGGAGGTTCGCCACCATGCGACTTTGATACCAGGACAGTAGTAGATCCTGGTATTGGTTTAAGGTTAACATTATGATTTAGACTACAGCCTCAGCTTAACTGGGTTCAATGCCGACTTGAGTCCCCAGATCAGTCCCGTCGACGGGTGATTGCTGATAGTATTGGTCGATAGACAACTAGCTGAGAGACAGGCGCCGCATGGTGTGGTGGTGAACGCGCCATCTCCCGGAAAGGGTGATAGCGCGTTCGTTCCCTCCACAGACACCTGCGGTCCGAAGTTTTGTAAACATCTCAGCATCGTTGTGGTTGCATTTCTTGTGACTATTATGCCGATGTTCTGCTTCAGTGAATTCGACTCGATACGACAGAACCATGAAGACCGACATCGCAAAAAACAACTGCTGTGGACATCCGGTTCGAATCACTGCGGTTTCGAAGAAGGCGGTGATCCAGAAAGGTTAGCCACAATAAAGAATTCCTTAAAAGAAACCCTTGTAACCTCACGGATGCAACAAGCTATGTTACAAATCACCAGAAAATTGTTGACTGTAGAAAACAATTGAAAACTATGAAAACTATTGATTTTAGGTAAGGATTCCATCTTGCACGTCAGGATTGTTTATCCTATGCAAAGGTGCAAATTTTGTGCATTTACGAAAAGCAAACTATGGACTGGAAAGTAAATGTCTCCCAACACAACGTATAAAACATCAGTAAAAGGTTCATAGTGCTAAGACTGATTAACTGTCTCCAAAAACAAACTGGGAGGAAGTCCACTGACGGACGAATACTCTGTGAACTCCAAGCCACTCTAAAAGTCTTCTCAATGATTTATCACTACTAAAAGCGCTTTGTTAAATCTCGTAATGTAAATGCAAATGTATAATTTCCTAAATATTTGTGTGAATCTAGTAAAAAAAAATGTCTTTTTTCGTTACTCTCCGGGAACAGTTTTTGTAGTAGGTAATTCCCCACCCAACAAAAGCCTTTCTACCGAAACAAACCCGTCAGAAAACGGTTTCCTTGTGAATTATTAAATCTCCAGAGACTATCATTATGTAGGCACTAAGTTAACACTGCTTTCTCTTTGCATGGATAGAATTAATTTCCATTCTATTCTCACTCCTACGAGTTCCCTGTTAGAGGACAAAGCTTCTTCTTTACAATATGTGAAACATATGGGGCGGATAGTTCAGTGGTAGTCATGACGACTACCACAATCACGGTATTGGTCCGACACCATCCCGAGCTCACCAGGTTTGTCACTGAGAACCTCTCATACTTCCGTAATCGAAAAACTGACGCAAGACCTATCCTGAAAGAAGTTACTCTCTCTAATCCTACTTGGAACGCCGTTCGGCTATGTTGGGACTCGAGGGGAACTTGACTCGACCAGCATTAAACGATATTCAAAATTAAAGGGAAACCCTCAAGCAGCAATCGAACCCATACGTAAAATGTTAGAAGACCTTCGTGAATGGGAGAATGGAAGAAACGAGTCGAATTCAACTGTTGTGATCCGCGCAGTAGATGTTAGAAAATAGTCGGATAAGCAAACAATGAAAAATAAGCTAACATACATGAGATGGTGGTACTGTGGATAGGATTCACAATACAGTACCCTTCCATCCCATATCGATTTCCACCGACCCTGTAACATAAATCAATAATATCTGTTCTGGCTTACAGCGTTCAAAAAATTTACAGATGAACACTTTCGCGGACCACTTCATCAAGTCAATCATAAAACACATCTCATGTCGCTTCCTCAAATTGGCCAACCATCGATAATCACATTCTTTTCGACAGAAACCGAATTTTGCGGCAGACATTCTAAGTCTAGTTATATTTCCATTAGAAAATCTTTCCATAAAATGAGCTATCAAGCGTATTGATAGAATCATAGAAACTAAAAAATACATTCTCTGTAATAGTGACAAAATTCCAATATTGTTATTCCTCTTCGATTTCTCTTGTTTTAAAGAAATGAGTGGTCTGTTGCACACCTTTGCGGAAGAACTTTAATGAGAATTAATGAATAATATGTAATTAATCACGTATGGCAATCACAGATTGTTCATTACAAAAAGTTAAACATATACAAATAACCGTAATGGAAATGGATCTTCCACAGATACTACTTCAAACTGCACAACCATTATGAAAGACATATGCTCAGTTAAACTAGAAGTTGGAAGTATATCGGATAGAGCTCGAAAAACATTGATAAAAAATAAAAAAGATACTATAAAAGATAAAAAAAGAAGATATTTGAAATTAAGGCGATTGATGACTTAGACAGAACGATACCAGTGGTTGCCGAGATAAAACAAAGGCCTTGGAAAAAAAACTTTAAGAATCTGATTTCTACTAAGATTGATAAAATGCGAAAAAAAGCAAGAATACCACCGACGTATTTTCCTTGAATTGAATGCAGCATGAAACAATGTAAAACTTGAGAAAATATGAATAAAAAAACGAAAATCAATAAAGACAGGACAACTATAATGACTTAGAATGGTCTTAAAAGTTCTCGCGAATAAAAATGCAAAAGATCCTAAACGTTGTCCTTATCACTAAGGAGAGAAAAGAGCTTTATGGAAATGTAACTGCTCCATAGAAAGAGATTCGAACGAAGGTGAATGCGTATCGCTAGCGGATCTACGACCATTGCCAATTATGGCAAAATTTCCCAAAGCGGGACGAGCAGAAACGCGTACCTCAAATTTATTATTACTCGCCTTAAAACAAAAACACTACGTAACTAAAAATACGACAAAAAAGGAGTAAAGTAAAGAATTCTTCATAGAAGAAAGAAATAAAAGCAAAGAGGAACCGAAAACGTACAGTTAGTTGATGCTGCACGAGGAAACTTTGAGTAGGCTCGCAATGGGTCAAAACAAGTATAATCTGAAAAGGAAACTTACTAATGATTCTTGCAGAAAACAACATTAAGTGGAATAATAATTATATTCTCAACATCTTTAAAGAACAGAACAGTAAATATCTGCATATTATAGCCACGGCTTAACTAGTTTCAGTGCCGATTTAGGTTCCCCAGATCAATGCCGTTGACGACTGATTGTTGATGGCACAGGTAGATAGAAAACTAGCTGAGAGAAAGGCGAAAAGAAGGACCCACATGGTGCTGTAGTGAATGCGTTAGCCCCCGGAAAAGGTAATAGTACGTTCGATCCCCACCGCAGGAACCTGAGGATCGAAGTTTTGCACATATCTCAGCACCATTGCGGTTGTATCACACATATCTTACCGTGAAAAATTGCTATAAGAAGTCAAAATAAAGAATTAACATTATCTGCACATTCTCGAAAACAAGCACCTGACGGCTCAGTGGTGGAATGGAATCTGCAACATCAAGAGCTCCCCGTGAAGAAAGCACGTTCAAAGAATTCGAACATTCAGCCCTATATTTGAACCACTTTCATGGATGGAGTAGAACAAATACTTGTGTGGCAAATGCCTCACAATTATCAATAAAAGACGTTGAAATAATTGCAAAACCGTGGAAAAAAACAAGCCAATTTGAAGTGGAATTGCAAAGCCAATTGTCAGCCTACCTCACATGGACCCACATATCGTCCAAAGCATTATCCACCATGAGAAGGAGACCAGCGAAATCATTGGTGACATATCGTGGATATACGCCAGGAAGCGACTAGGAACCACGTTATAAAACGTGAAGTGGAAGTCCAGTAATCCAACCATAGGTCAACCACTTACACTATGGACTGTTCCTTCCTTCAGAACTAACTGCACTAACGAGTCAGTATACACAGAAGCAGCACACGGAAGCATATCAGCGAAGATAGGCTTTGAACTAGAGATCTTCTTGTAGGATAGGATAAAAAAATCGACAGTAACCATTTACCTATGGATCACAAGGCATCCATCGATTTTTCTGTTGCCCAAAGTTGTGAGGCTGTGACAGACCACTATGTAATGCCCGGATCGAAGAAACATGTCACCTAACAATAATGATCACTAGTGTATTAAAGTCAAAACCCACTGATGGGATAAGCTAAGTCGCACAACAAGTCCTCACTAAAAATTAGTCAGGTTTAAGACCAGACCAGAAACTACGCCAAGGAACGGGTTTGGGACGTTGTTGTTATCAATCTCAACAATCTATTTGAAAAAGAAGTTTAAAACGAAACACGAAATACCTGTATCAACAAAAGCCTCTATTTCACGTGGAGAACGATGAACAAGCTCCCCTACCGCTCCAGAAGAAGATATCATGTGGACGCAAATAAAAAGATCTGCCTAGATAGGAAAACGAACTTTATTCGAGGTGAACACGTAGAACAAACAGCACATTACTGACGATAACAAGAGGTTATCGAGCAAGACAAAGGACAGGAAACAAAAGCAAAAAAACTAAGCGACAAAAGAAGAGTTTTTCAGATTAGACGCAGAATAGTGTTCACCCCGAAAAAAGAACCAAATGTATGCTACTGCTAAGCTTACTTGATCACGAGCAGTACGGGCACCGCTTTGAAATAACGTAAAGCAAACTTCGGTTGGTTCCTCGATAAGAATACGTACAGCTCTAAAGAGTAAATTAACACAAACATTAAAGAGATAATGAAGCGAAAAAACAGAAAACAGCAAACTTGTCTGTGTTCGAGAATGTCCCACCCATTTGCATAGGTATGCGCAGCTCTGTCCAACCTTGGAACCATCGAATCTTAGCAATATCAACTAAAAAATCCTACTTATGCTTGAGCGAGAATGGAACATATCGATAACTGTTTACCGGAATCAAAATGCAATAGAAAGTCCTCATAACTTATCCAGAACGTTCCAGTAGAAGGCTCTCCAGAGAGTAATTTGCGCTTTAACTCTGAAAATCTCCTCTTGGAGACTTGAAAATGGAAACTGCACCTTAAAAAAGGTTCTGTTCACTAACCTTTGGGCCAACCTTTCCAGTTATTGCTCCACTTTCCGTTCCATACAAAAGATCCCCAAGGATTACGAAGTTTTAATAATCTAAAAAGTGATAAAGTGCATGGAATTGTAAACAACGTTGATATTAACGATGTTAACCTCCTATTTTATGCCTACTACAATTTTTGACCGCTGGATATGATGCGAATCACAACCACAAAGATGCTGAGATATTTGCAAAACTTGGGCCCCGGACTAGATCGAAGTACGATTTCTCTTTCCAGGAGCTCACGCATTACGCGCTGCACCACGGAGGTCACTGCTCTGCGTTTCTCTCAATTAGTTTTCTACCTAAAGTTGCCATTAGCAATCACCTGTCGGCGGGGATGACCTGAGGAGCACAAATCGGCATTGAACCGAGTTAAGCTGACGCTGTAAAACTAGCAGAAAGAAACGTAGAGCAAGAGCCTCCGTGGTGAACTGTGTAATGTGCGAGACCCTGGACGGGAAAACCGTAGTTCGATCTGGATCTGCAGAAAATTCAGTAGAGATTATGCTATTATTTTAGTTAATAGAATGTCTGAGCTAAGACTTGTCACCTTAAAGGACACAGTTTGAAATCCTACATCAAATTTTGAACAGTCAAGTAAAATAACATTGAATGTCATATAGCACAACAGGAAAAAATAGAGAAAATACCTGTGTTCTCCTTCTTGTTTCACTTCCAAAATTGAGTATGCATGTCTTGCTAACAATCCTTTTTTTTGAAAATCTTTCGCATTCACCTCCCGCTTACCGGCTCCACAACTACATCCCATGATGAAACCAGCTTCTCTAGAAGTAAAAACCCCATTAGGTCATTTGAACCCACAACATTTTATGTTTATGTAATCAGGCGGAAATAAGCCGTAAAAGTTTTCGCCGGCCAAATATAAAAAACATAATTTTAACTTATTATTCGCTGCCCACTCTTTTTAATGGCAGAATATATTGCGAAATATAACTTCAATGATGCTGAGAATCGCATGTGCCTGCGGTCCGAAGTTTCGCAAATATCTCAGCATCACTGAAGTTATATTTCGCAATATGTTCTGCCATTAAAAAGAGTAGGCAGCAAATAATAAGTTAGAATTGTGATTATAACTACAGCTTCAGCTTAACTGGGTTCGCTGCCGATCTGCGCTCCCCAGATCAATCCCGCTGAAAGGTGACTGCCGATGGCAGAGATCGACAGACAGAACTAGCTAAGAGACAAGCAAAGCGAAGGACCCGCATGGTGTGGTGGTGAACGCCTTACTCCCTGGAAAGGACAATAGCGCGTTCGTTCCCCACCGCAGACACCTCCGGTCCGGAGTCTTGCAAATATCTCAGCATCGTTGAAGCTATAAAAAACATACTTGGCGCTAAGGATTCGGGTCCATTTCAAATCTTTATCTGAATTGTCGTCATCCTCGAGTGATATCACCTCCACAGAGGCGCCTGACATCATGGAAGATAAAGAATTAAAAATGATAAAGCCCAACAATAACGTCATAGTTAAGAAATCCACGGAACTACTAACCCGTTAACATAGCCAATCCTTCAACGGTTCGACCGGCAAGTAACCGAGAATAACTGCCTAGTTGTTTCGCTAAGGCTTTTTCGATAAGTGGTACCCAAAGCTGAACAAGGATCGAAGGCATAAAAAGAAGATCATGCGGTAAAAGATATGACCCACCGAATGTCACGCAAAAACAGATAGAAATACCATTCCTTACCTGGTTTTTCCTCCCATCTGCAAAGGCAATCGATCTCGTCTCAATTCGACAGGGAAAGAAATCGTCAACTATAACAATCTTCCAACGTCCATCGATGCAAACCCTAAACGGCATGCAAATGAAGAAAATGGCTCTCAGTATGAAAAGCAAAAACCAAATAGAAAACTTTGAAAACACAACGGATCTCACCTTACTTGGTATGCACCAAAGTGAGAATATTCTTTAGTAATCAAAATGTGATCCAGAATATCTGGTCGCTCAGCTATTAAAGCCATTGCGGACAACAGCCAACAGTCTCCCAGACATCCTTATAGAAACGAATATTTGCAATATTCAGTCTTCACTTCGTCATGAAACAATGTGAAAACCGGAGAATAAAGATAGGAGAAAGGTAAATGGCAGCAGTTCCTAATGTCTACCTTGTTCAATATCCGACGAACGAGGATCTCGAAATACAGTCCATGGCCAAGTGCGACCGTCTTTAGTGTACACCTGCTCGGGTCGTAACCATAAAAACGATGTTGGGATTTTCCCTAGATATGGTTATAAATAACACCACGGCTAGTTCAGTTATAACGCTCAGGCCTCTAATAGCTACCTCCCACTTATGCAGTACTACTTCTGAGCTACGAAAACTTACCTACAATTGCGCCGCCAACACAACGAATGTCACCGATCGATACATGAGAATGTGGGAAACTGTCATCAATGAAAGTTGTCATATTTTGCCTAAATTAAGTGAAAACAAAAAAGATTTTAGTATTTGTGGTCATTTGGTTACCTAGGCCGCCACTCAGCCTTTCTTGTCGAGGAATAAACAGCATTTAACTGGAAAACATAAGCGAGTAACACAGTTGTAAGCACTAAGAAATATAATAAGGATAAAGAGGATAAAGCTCCTGGAGATGATCAATCTCTGAAAGATGCGCTATGCATTCGACTACATTAAGCATTGTTGGAGGTGACTGAGTGCATATTTGGCCTTTACAACGACTCGCAGTTGCCTACCAATGTGTCGAGCCACTGCTGCTATCCTCCCAGACAAATCAGACAAATCTGGTACCAATTTGCCAATCCTGGAAGCATGGAAGGCTTGGTAGGTCTTGGGCACGGGGATCGATCTTATGTGTATTGTAGGGCGCCTCCGAGTAATGCGCTACACGCTCCCCAAGAAATACGAGAAAAACTCACTTGCAAAATGTAACGATGGTGTTGTAAGTGGCAATTGCATTCTCTCGATCGCAGCGCTCTACTTCAGTCATCACTTCCGAACATAACGACATCGATGTATTCTTCGTGAAAAGCGAGTTCTGAAGAAGTAAACGGATCTATGCAACAAGTAATAGTAGTCAGATAAACGATTGAAAAAATTTGCAGTGGCACTCACATCTCCTGGACCGACAGTTGAGTTATAGCGATTATCCGAGGCCGAAGGAGCACTTCTATCTTGACATCGTTGACGTCGTTTTGATCCTTAAGAGAACAATCTAAGCAAAGATTTGGATGTGAAAAAAAACTTCCGGCATATTAGGTTCGTATTCTCTAATAGCCACTGGAGAGCTGCAACTATGACAACTTAGCTTAACACAGACGAGTGTGAGGGGATCCATGCACTGTGTCTAGATGTCATGCCATCAAATGTTCAATTTATCACCTAAGGTTTATGAAAAATATGATAGATCAAAAGAATTACCTATCGGTTTACTTTCGTTGCAATGAGAGCAAACCATTGCCACTTCGTTATTGACGTGTGAACACTTCTTACAAATCCAACTCAGTGACTGTTCCTCAAAATCGTTTGAAACTACAGAGCTGTCCACAACAACTGAAGAGCCACCAGCAGTGGTTGAAGTAGTTGTCCATGATTCTGGAGAAGAGATCACATTATACGACGAAGTTAACTTGCGTCACTCCTACGTGGCACAGTCTCAGAGAACATGTGGCTACCGCATTTTAATCATTCACATAATCATTAGAATTCATTGATTTACATCACCTTTGCTTGTAGAAAATACAGTGCTATAGCGGTGTAGAAGAAGAAAATTACCCAAACCATCTTCTTTTCTTTACTTCTTACTCTTCTACTCTCTCTAGCTCTTTACTTTTAACCTACTTTTCTTTTTATTTACACTTTTTCTCACGTTTCCATAACACCTTCGATGAAAACTCTTAAATAGTGCTAATACCATGAAACGGATTTAAAAAACTCTCACGACATCCAAAATTTAAGCATCTCCTTCAATTGTCACATACTAATAAGCAGACGCATGCCGGAATAACGTTTTCTAAGACAAATGACGATAACGATCAACATATACCGAACTGTTTATTTTATTTTCACTTTCTACGACCCCCGAGGCAATGTAGCGCGGTGGTGAAAAGCGCCCTGCAATACACGTGGGATCGATCCCACGCCCCAGGCTCACCAACCCTTCGATCTCTCAAGGGTCAAATTGGTAACAGACTTGTCTGGAAGGATGGCAGCACAGATCCCATACATCGGTAGGCGCCGCGAGCCATTATGTAGGCCAGATATGCATTCCTCCATCTCTAACGATGCTTAGTGATATCGAATGCATGGCGCAGGGATTGATCAACGCCGAGAGCTTCATCGAATTTTATGACCCGCCTTTCACATCTACTGTGCGGATCCCAACACTTCTCGCATTCGATTCCTTTCCTCGCATTTATCATCTACGAAGGTCTTCCAAGTTTTTACGTGTGGCTTCGGCTGCTTCTTGAGGATTTTCCTTTCATCATCAATGTTGTTGACTGCAGGTCCAGTCGATAGTCGATTCTCATTAGTCCTGAGATGGAGGGGCTAGAGAGTTCCAATTTGGATTACAGACAGTGAATTTTTCACTGACGAATGCGGTGCCAATTTCCTGACCTAACCGAAATGAGAAGCTCGGTGAGTTCGGAGCAAGATCGAACCAGCACAGTGCTCATGATGACGATCATCACTACCACCTTGGTAGCCACGCCCTCTCCGAACCATTGGTACTAATAAACCCTGTTTTAAGAGCTATTCCAGCATCTGGTAGTCAGTTAGCGTATAACTACTTTTCACAGTTAATCGTCTCAGCATATTAAATCACACTTTGCCGTCCTGTTAAATTACTATGACCTTGCTGATGTTCAGTACACACATCCATAGGACAATAATAATGTGACGTTTCATTCTAAAGACTACGTGAACTTCACAAATCTCTAAACTACCCTGGATGAGTACCACCCATTTTAACTATCCTAACCTTTCAACGGTTTGCCGCCTCGTCGTGGCTGGAAGGGGTTTCTGGGTGTCACGCCGCGATGTACAACGGGAGAATTCATTCTCCAGCAGGGTCTTCCAGGCTGAAAAGAAGTCCGGCGCCTCGATCAGGAAGCCGAGCTAAGAGCAAACCAATACCAGGATCCGTCACCGTCCTAATACCAAACTAGTCGCGTGGTAGCAAATCTTCCTCTGATCCACGAGGGTGTCGACTGCCTGTGGCGGTGACGACCTGGAGCAGACGCTGGCTAGCCTGTCCTCGGCACTCCAAGGAACCACAACAGCTAAACTGGAGAACCTTCGAAAAGAAAGTGGAAACTATGCTGGGACCCGCACAACCACTGAAGAGCCATATAAGTATGCAAGTAACTACCCCAAATCATGTTTGCCTTTGTTTTCAAATAACTCCATAAGCAATGAAAAGGTTTACGTTCGAAAGGATTCATAAACTTAGAAATAAGAGGTGCTAACACAGATACAATGAAACCATGGAAAAACAGCTCCTTCGGCGAACTTTAGGAACAGACCTGGGAGAAGAATCGAGCAGGGAGTGCGTTGCCTAGCGACCGGACTTGGAGATCCAGTGAATAATTCCAGTACTGCATTGGTTATGTCTGCGACTGTAAGCACAATAAGTTAAAGTTTCTACCAAATCTTTATTGTTTAATATGTAAAAATTACAAAATGTAATAGCTAACTTGGTTTTATGATGAATCTCGATAGCAATGGCGATCTTCCATGCTCACGTTCCGACCCACAAGCAGTACATAACGTGCTGGACTCGCGATTCAGGTGTGTGCAGTACTGACACACCCATCCTGACATCAACGATAATACTGAAGGACACCTCTCAGAAGCAATTAATGATAAGCTTGCGATGACTAACAGATTGCGATTGGGTCATGACTCGTTGATAGAGCACATTTGCTAGTCTCTCGATATCCATTCCTCTCAAAAGCAGAACCGTTGGATCTGCAGTACCAGGCCCTATTTACTTTGAAGTTAAGTCGGCACAATATATGAATTCTGAAACACTTAGACGTTCCAAGTTACCATTTGTGAAAGAGTGGCGTTTCGTCTGACAAATGTCTTTTTTTCTTTATATTCTTGTTTTCTCCCAACCGTTTACCACCTCATCGTGGCTGGGAGGTGTTTCTGGGTGTCGGACTGCGATGTGCAGCGGGGGATTCGTCATTCTGGCAGGGTCTCCCAAGATGAAAAGCAGTCCGGCGTTTCCATCAGGAAGCCTAGCTAAGAGTAAACCAATACCAGGATCTACCACCGCCCTGGTAACAAAGCCACATGGTGGCAAATCTCCCTCTGATCCACAAGGGCTGCGACTGCCTGTAGTAGTGACGACCTGGAGCAGACTTTGGCCAGGCTGTGCTAGGGATTCCAGGGAACCACAATGGCTTAACCAATAAATCTCCGAAAATGGTGATTATGCTGGGGCCCGCACAACTAGTGAGGACGGGCGGCTCAAGTATCAAGTATCAAGTAAGTACAGCAAAATTGGAGAACACTCAAGCGGATTAAAAGGCGAAACGAATCCACTAAATTAAAATATCAATAGTGACGTTGTTTAGCACCTTTCCTCATGAAGTACAGCATGTCGTGTATTTTCCCAATATAACCCCTGCTTCTATATTCACCATTCTTGGCTCACTAATATTGGCCACTATGGGACTAGTTTGATACCAGGACCACGCGACATACTCAGTGGAAGACTCATAGAAAGCGGTGAAAGTGCTAAGAGCTGTTCTGTGTTGAATGTGATTGAAATCTTGGATTAGCATTTCCTCTGTTTGGTTATGGAGGTGCTTGGCTGGGTAGATTGCGGTCAACTTGACCTTTCTAGGCTCTGACGAAGGCGAAGTCCGCTTAAACGTCAGCTTGTGCGTAAATGAAAAAAACGGTAAAGCTCTCGACGTTGATCAATCCCTGAGGGATGCTCCATGCATTCGACTTCATTAAGTATCGTTGGAGGTGATTGAATGCATATCTGGCCTTTACAATGACTCGCGGTGGCTTACCGATGTATCGAGCCAGTGCTGCTATTCTCCCAGACAAGTCTAGTGCCAATTTGCCGAACCCGGAGGAATGGAAGGCTTGGTGAGCCATAGGTGCTGGGATCGATTCCACGTGTGTGTTGCAGAGCGCCTTCGATCACTGCGCCTCAGGCGCCCTGTAAATAAATTGTGTAAAATTTCGCGTAAATAAAGAAATAAAATAACACTTTGTGTTTGGTAAATAGAAATATAAAGAATTGTTGGATCAATGCCGAGGTTAACAGGAAATCGACCGTGGGAGTTTTTTTCTGTTCACTGCACGAGGGGCAATACGACTAGTTGCTTTAACCCATTAGATAAATAAGACGAGTTCTTTCATGCCGGCCGTCATTTAACTTTACTAGTAGTAGTCAATACCTACTTAGATTATTAAGCGAACACG